CTCCTATGGTAGTCTTGTGGAGCTGCATAAACACTTGCTGGTAGAAAGCTCCTCCTATTTGTACGCAGCTCCTCCCTGCAGCTCAGTCTGCAACCGAGCTCCAGCTCCACAGAGCACCCCTCCCCCTGAGCATTTTTGTATAGATGAGATGAAGTGGGAGTGTCTGAAATGGTAGGAGGCTCTTAAAGAGACAGAAACCAATTTCAATGTGTTTAGATAGACTATGATGCAAAGGTAAGTTACTTGATTATCACATGTACAACATTTCCTGTTTCACTTTGACTGAGTCAAGTTCAAAAGAAAATATGCCAGTTATGTGACAAAATGGGTTAAATCGTCCAACTTTCTTAAATATAAAGATGTTTTCTTTGACTTTTTGTAWTTGAAGAATATGCATGTCACAGACACTTTAATAAATAATATTTTATGAAACCTGGTAAATAAGCAAATGCATGTTTGTCACAGCCACTGTTTACAAAATATTTCCTAAGTCACTGGATGGATTTTAATGCATAAAATCCTAATGTTTCAAAATGGAACCAAATTAACTTAATCTTTTTTTCAACATGATATGACCTTTTATTTAAATATCTGGCGTGAATGACGTTGGGCAATATTCACTTTTGTTTGTTTTCTTTTTTCCAGATTGTTTTCTCTTCCAAAAGTGTGAAGCACGTTTGTTTTGATTGTGTGTTAACGAGCATTTCAGTCTGTCACTCGGGGGCAACGCAGCCTCATTAAGTGCTTTTGCAACACTCGGGTCAGCGTGGCTCTTTCTCACACGAGCGAAGAGAACAAAATGAAAAAATTTTCGAAGCAAGGTAAAAAAAAAAAAAGAAAAAGCTGAAAACCTTCCAGGAGTTTCTGCTGTTGCGGGGAGGAATTCATGACGTGGGACACAAAAACTGAAGCGCAGGATGTTGGAAACACAATGAAATCAGTTTGCATCTAGAGAGAGCGTAATTGGATTKATTGTTGAATTTGCTCAAAGCTATAAACCTGTCACAGGCTCAGGCCTTGGAGCATCAAGGACGTCCCCCCCGTCCCCCCCACCACCACCACCATCATCTCTGGAGACAGCAATGTGACTCTGAGGCAGGAGAAAATAGAGTGGAATGGTGTGGAAGAAGACGAACTGCGTGCAGAATGGAGCTGCTGAGAGGGGAACTGGATAATTAGGGCATTAAGAGCGGCTTCACCCTGGACATGTAACATTTAGATTACTTCAGCAGTTGAGTAAACTTATCAAAATTGTGGAGGAGTGAAGAAATGTGGAGAAAAAGAAATCTCTCTCTCTCTCTCTCTCCACCCCCACAGAGTCTTAGTGACGCTTTGATCGAAAGAAAAAGCTTTTTAGCGGCGAAGAAGTTTAAAGAAATGGGCGAACGGACTGCCTCCGACAGGTGCCGTGGATCGTTTCAGGTTTAATTAAGTCTAATGTGTGAGTGAGACAGGCGRAGCACGGAGAGGCAGACTGCAGCGCACCGTCAGCTGCAGGAGGAGAGGAAGAGGCCCGCCAGAGCCATGACCTTATTTTACATGTTGAAGTTAATGGAAAGGAACATGCACTGTCACCACTGTCCCCCCCCCCCCCCCCCCCCCCCCCCCCCCCCCCTTCTGCGTGCACCTCATACAAAACCCACACAAACGTATGAACGCGCTGCACATCCTCACTGCCCTTGCAATGGAAATGTTTTCATTTTTTCTTTTCTTTCCCCCTTTCATCTATTTTGAAATTGATGGTCTTTGTTGTTTCTGAATCTCTGCCCTCTAAATGCTCGGAGAACGGAGAGATGTGATTGTGACTCATTGTGTGTCTTCTTCTGCGAATTGAAGGTGGTGACCTCGGGGAAGAACAGCAGAGGGTACCACTATATCCTGGCCAACCTGGTGAGAGCGAGCAACAACTCAACACAACAACAAAGAACTATGAAAACACAACTGTAGTGCTTAGTGTGATGCAACCCAAGCTCAAAGGAATGTAACTCAGTAGCCCAGTCAAGTAGGCACAAGTTAAAGCAGTTTTTTTTATTTCTTTATTTTTTTAAGTTTGTCATTAAAGAAGTTGCTCGTTKCTTGCAGGGTTTTTCCAATCTGAGCCTGGACAGAGTCTTTTCTGGTGGGGCCAACATCACAGGCTTCCAGATCATCAACCCAGACAGCCCCATCGTTCAGCAGTTCCTCCAGCGCTGGGAACGCTTGGATGAAAGAGAATTTCCAGAAGCTAAAAACACTCCCCTGAAGGTTAGTGAAGCGTAGCTGTCGATGCCGAACCCCCAGCCCCTCTCAACTCGCCGCTCTTCCAACTTCATAAGTCCCGACTCGCTTTAATCCTAGTTTTACTATGAAGTACTCGTCAAGATATTCTCAGGTGATTTTCACCTGGTTTCCCTGAACCGAGTCAAACTCRCATTTATGTCCAAGACAAACAGTGTTGCAGAGATAAAACCCTGAAAGCAGCGGTTCCCAACTTGCTTGGGGTGAGGGGTGGGAGTGTAACATACTCAGAGGCTGAGAAAATATATAAAAATCACATAAAGGTTTACAATTATTCACTTTATTCTTTTTTTATTTTGTAGCAAAGCTTTGGGAACCACTGCCTTAAAGCACAAGAGTCAAACTTAAGGGCCGTGGGCCAAATCTGGCCCTTGTTAACATTTGATACGGCCCCAAAGGAAATATTTTAAATGGAAAATTGATTTTAGTGTGACGAAAGTCACACAGAAACACATTCAAATGCCCTTTTCTGTGTTCTCTTATTTTAAAGTCAAATAATCAGATTTTTTTGGTGAGATTTTTCTTTATCTAACTGATTTGCTGAATTGTGATAAGATGTGTTTTTCTAAATGTAATCTTTTTTCTTTATCTGTTAGCTTATGTATGTTCCAAATGCTGTATAATACACAATTTGAAGACGGTCATTTGTATTTTTATAGGAATAATTTGTTATAAAAGTCTGACCCTGAACTTAGCTTTAACATCTTACCTGTCAGAGATCACCCTTCAAACAACCTCTTTGAAAATAATAGAGTTTAATTAACTAACAGCTAATCTGAGTGAGACTAAAGTGGATTATTGTTGTCTTAACACAACTCCAAATTTAAAAACTTCAAAGCGATTCATGCAAACTAACTGCTTTAATTTTTGGATAAAACTTCATTTCACTTGAGAATCTCCTTTCCTTTCCAAATATTGCCAAGCTTTGCCCCGTGCTCCCCCCTCTCTGACACAGAAAAGCTGATCCGTGCTTTTGTCTCTCGGTTAATTCAAAGCACGTCTCATCGGGGTCTCCAGCAAAGTGTCCAGAGACTGCAGTATATCCCAAACTCTGCTGCCAGGATCCTGATGAGTGTGACAGAATGAAAACATTAGACTCACTCCACTGGGTTCTTGATGCTGCTGTGGTTAGCTCTAACTCCTCACCAAAACACTTCCTCTTATTTAAAACATCTCCTCACCCCAACAACCTCCACATATTTCCTCTGCTCCTCAATCAAAACACCTCCTTCCTCCAAAGACTAAACGCAACACTATGCTGCTGCTTCCACAATCTGCCAGGTTTAAACATGAACCTAAAGTTTCCTTCTTACCACAACTCACTTATCTTAATTTAGCCTATTTTTGTTTTAAGTTTTTTTATGTAAAGTCCATCAAAAATGCAATATAATGTTATTAAATATTAAACCTTGACATGACATCTATTTTGCAGTATAATATTATTTGTTAAAAGATATTGTGATTTTCATATATACATTCCCCCGACTGCACCAGAAGTGCTACAGGTAGCTGCTGCTGCAACTCCTGCATTTTGCCTGGGCCAAAATTAAATAATTCTTTGTAACAAAAAATTAATGGCAAGGTAAAGGTTTATAAACTAACTTCTGGTGAACTGCTGTACAATGTTTGAGTTTATCGTTGTTTCAAGAAATCTTCTGGTCTTACTCAGACTTAGCTTGATCCTGTTCATTGTTTTTCTTTGGTTTTTGTCTCAGTACACATCAGCACTGACCCACGACGGCATTCTTGTAATTGCGGAGGCCTTCCGGTACCTTCGTCGCCAGCGAGTAGACGTGTCCCGCAGAGGGAGYGCAGGCGACTGCCTCGCCAACCCCGCAGTGCCCTGGAGCCAAGGCATTGACATAGAGAGAGCCTTGAAAATGGTACGAATGAGGACGCTGTGTTCTGAACATCTCAGYTTGGTTTGTTTCTGAAGGTTTGCACCTTCAGATCTGTGTCRTYTTTATGTTTCTGTTCTGCTTTCTTCTGGAGAAATGAACCAAAAGYGAATTAAAAGTCAGGGCTGTGATTAATTTCCTTACATCYGCTATGTTCATGTTTTCATCGTCTGCAGTGACCAGACTGGCTCAAAGGCAAATTTTACATTTATTTTCCAACACACAGAAGCTTTAGTATCACATTTATTTAAAAAAAATGCACAAATGTAACGGTTCCACTTGCCTTTGACCTTGGTCTCAGAAGGCCTCCTTCAGAGAGACAGAACTCTGTTCATTTAAAGCCATAACAGGTTTTCTTAAACAGTGAAGAGACATTTTCTTCTTATTAATCAGATAATAAACAGAATAATCTTCTTTTATTCCTAATTTGATCAATGTATAAAAAGAAAACACAAAACGAATGTTATTATAATGTTTTATTGTGCTTTGATGTAAATCACAGCTTGAAATTTAACTGTGAAACCACAGTGATTGATTATAGATGTTTAAGTTCAAATATTTTACTTAACTAAACTTTGCATTATGGTTAAGCTTTATTATGAAACTTTTTATAATTATTTTTTTATCTGAATCATTATAATGAATGTTCAATATGAAGTAAATCATTTTTAAGTTTTCAGTAAATCATTTTTTTTTTTGTTCTTTAAAGTGCTCTCAGCAGAGAGCACTGTACGACTGTGCAGACGTCAACAAGTTTTGTTTAAGAAAAACAACATCTGGCAGTCCTTCACTAACCTTTCTGCTTTTAAACTAACATCGCTGAACTAACAGTCAGTTGAGTTGAGTTGGAAAGCGAACACTCTCGTGCTTCACGAGGACGCAGCTGGTTGTGTTAGTTCAAAAAMCAAAGCCTATAATCTCTACAATTATGTAGACTTTATTATTTTTGCTGTCTGCTCAGAACAGGTGGTGTAAAATGCTTCTTGATGGATTTCAGGTGCAGGTAACAGGTATGACAGGAAACATCCAGTTTGACACGTTTGGCCGAAGATCTAATTTCTCCATCGACGTGTACGAGATGAAGCCCAAGGGACCCAGGAGGGTGAGTGAGCTCATAGGTTTGAAAACATTTTAACTCATTTAATTAACTTTTATTTCCAGGATTAAAATACCAACACGCAGTGTGTGTGAGAGAGCAGGTATTCCCTACTATGTGGGGACCATTTTTGGCGTACACACCTACTTGTGGGGACCAAATGGGGACTTAAGCCTAGTCCCCACGGGGGGGAATGCCATTGGAGGGTTGGGGTTAGGTTTAGGGTAAGGGGTCAAGGTTAGGCTGTAGAAATTAATGGAAGCCAACGCAATGTCCCCTAAAGATAGCTGTACCAGACCATGTGTGTGTGTAATGGTTCCAGTTACGTAAAAACAGGCATGTGCAGGAAACAGATATGTGTTATTGCTTTTTTTTTTCCTTCACATGTTGGCAGAACGGATGCTGAGTGTAGCCCAGTGCGCCCAAATCCAATCCAAATTGTCCAGCTTCCTTTTTCGCTTTAGATTTCAATTTGGAAATAATTCTTCAGGAGTCAATGAGGACTGACAGATTGGAGAGGAACAAACCCACAAAACTGTGTAGGGTAACACATTATAAGGCCCAAAGAAATACACACTCTAAAATTTTGTTGGAGCACTTATAGTGATGTCAAAACAAGTATTTTTGTTTATTTACATTATTTATTTTCTCAAGAACTTGTACTAATGATAAAAATTTTTAGACACGCTTTATAAAATCTTCATCAATAAATCTCAGAGATTTTTTACTAAGGTTGTTGGAACTCTGAAGTAACGGCCTTTAGCCCGTCAACAAATTAAATCTTGTATTTGCTGAAGCATTAATGTCTCAGCATTGAGATTCTCTCTGTAAAGTGTCACGTTTTTGTTTGCTTTTAATAAACAGGTGTTCCGATTCATGAAAACTTTAGATTTTAAAACTGCCAATGAGACATGTGGGAAAAAAGAGCTACAAGCCGACCGCTCGGCTCACATTAACATTCAGCTGCAGCGTCTTCATTTTGCCCGAAAGCACAGACACATGTCTTGTGCCTTGGATTGCTGAAGGAGGAAGCAAACACACGTCTTCTGAGATGAGGTGCGCTCATTTGGAAAAGACATTTATCTAGTTAACTTGTCAGCCTCGACACATGTCAGTGTTTGTTAGTTTACATGCTGGACAGCTTCTTCAGGAGACCTGAGGAAATAAGTCTTTTGCCTTTTTAGCTTGTAAGCTTTGTTATTTAGCAAATACACTCATATGCTTTAATATTTTTCACTTTTGTTTTCCTTTATATGGAACTTGTCCAGTGACAAACGAAATTAATGAGTGGCCACAAGATAATTATTACAGTCATTCCCATGCAGAGACTGTTGATTGTTAAAATTAGAATTTTATTTTAATATAAGAATGAATGACATCCTTCAGTCTCTTGCAGTTAGACATGAAGCAATTCTTGCAGCTATAAGACATAGCTGACGATAGGATTTGTCTTTGTCCCAAAGGTTTTTTTTAATATTATTTTTCTAAGTTTTRTTTTGTTGAAGCTCAGCATTCAAAGCGGGCTCCTTTCTCTCACACAGTCTTTGCTGAAGGAGTGGAGTTAAGTCACCTTCAGGAACACAGTAAAAAACTTGTTTCCTGACACACACTTAGGGCATTCAATGTCATCGTGTAAATACTAATACTATGAAAAATGAACTGTTTAGATTGAACCATAGAGGTATACTCTTTAACAAAATAATAATATCAATATCAATTAAAAAAAATAATAATAATAAATGTGGGGTACCTTTGAGCAGTTAAAAAAAACAATGTCGGCTATTCATATTTAGTCTGACTCCACCAATGTCTGTATCTTCCACTAAAAGACACGGCTGCTTAAAGTTATTTTGTGGCCATGTGTTCATTTTTCTTTGTCCAGTATCATCAGGCTCCTTACATTTACACTTGATTTATCCCAGATTGTTTCCCCTAAAACATGTACAGTCACAGTTATTTGTGTTGTTGRGCAGACCTAAAGCAATGCAGTTTGAAACCAGACCCACATGTTTACTCTCAGTTGACCCTGATATCCCATAAAAGCTGACATCAAATCGGGGAGCGGCCCCATAAAGTCCAAGTAGCTCACCTCAGAGACACCATTTATCAGCAGCCGTCACGTCCGATCTCAGTGTGAGCCGATCTGCAGTGACAACAGAGCGAGCACGGTGCGTATTTAAACCATCAGAACAGAGACGACTTCTTGAGTGCTGCACAAATAAACAGAGCAGCAACTGGGATCCTCTCGGGGGTAAGCGTGCGCAGGACGAACTTTGTTTTCGTGTTGAGATTATGCTGTTGTTTTGTGTGGTGGTAATTTATGTCAATGTCAATTTATTTGTACAGCACAGAAAAACAAGTGCTTCACAGTTCAACCAAATGAATGGATAAAACGACAAAGAAACACGGAAATGTTCACAAATAGGTACAATTTGTATAAATACTGCAAAACAAGCTAAAACCATCAGCTGTAAAAGAATCTCAAACTTTGCCAGAATCAAAAGCTAATGAGTAAATTTAGCAAAAACAATGATGAGGTATTGTTAAGACTGCATGATGTTTCTTGCCAGTTGTTTCAGTGAATTCAAAAAAATTAAAACAACTGAACTTTTATTCTGAAAGGATGAGCATAATCTGCATAAAAGAAGCATCTCATGCAGTTTAAAGCTTAGAACTCCAGCTCTCTTGTAGTATTCAAAGTATTCAATTCAAAAACATAAGCCCAGTTTTTTATTTTATTTTTTTACATTTTTATTTGATTTGCCAAGTCCTGAATGACTGAAAATGTACACCAGCACGTTTTACTGCTTTAGTGGTGTTGCTTTCTTCTTATGTAAGAGAACATTTGCTAAACCAGGAATAGATTACTCCTACTCTGCTCAGGTGAAGTGAGAAGCACCACTACAAGCTTTTTATTAAATCATGCATCAAGCAAAACCCAAAGTGTCTCCATCTGCACAGATCGAGCCGACCAACTCACACACACACTTGGAGGCTCTTCTGCTGAACGTCTCTCTCTCTCTCTCTCTCTCTCTCTCTCTCTCTCTCTCTCTCTCTCTCTCTCTC